TGTTAGAAATAGTATGTTCTCTCTGTGTCTGTTTGTTAGCTGTCTTTCTCTAATTGATACTAATAAGAAACCATTTCGAAGTGTCAATGAATGAACCAATTTCGATGAATTTAAACACGATATTAATCAAAAATATTTGACCGGTATTCATTTTTATCTATCATGATCCATGAAGGGGTGAAACCTATTCCTAAATTAGGGACAGTAAAACATATTTATATCTTACAAACTATTGAAACCAAATTAATGGCGTAAACGAATAAATTTTATACTTTTTAATAATGAATTTGAATGTTTAAACGAATTTACAAAAATTCATTTGTTTGAATGATATATTTAAAAAAATTGTTTTTGTTCATTTGTTTGGCCAAGTATTTACATCATTGTCTGTAAATCGTTCTTTTCTGTGTTAATGATGAACATAATTTCTTTAAATATAAATTACTAATAATCATAACTTAATCTTACTTCAGACATTCTAATACAAATATTTTTTACGATCTTGTTAAACGCATAATAAATTTTTCCTAGGGCTATCATCCCTTCAAAATGTATCATTTGTTTTAAATATTGCTATATAAACGTAACCACTAAAATTGTGAATAAATATTCATGATTGAATCTCTCAATTATATGTATAATGTAACAATGTCGCAATAAGATTGACAGATGTCATGGGTCAATATCGGTTTGAAATTTCGTTTGTTTCAAATAATTCGTCGCTGTGTAGATTAAAATGATATAATTTATCAAACTATTACATGGAATTTCTAATAATAAACGTTACGTTCTGGCAAAAATTAATAAAATGATATTACGATTTGTTTTTTTATCTTTTACAGATTATTATTCCTTCAAATATCTAAACACATTCTTAGAGGGGATAAATTGCGTGAACGAAAATATAGTATTTATACTTTTCTCAATTGTTGTAAGAAATGTATTCAAGCAGACGAAGATTATTTTATTTAGTACATATTTATTTCCTACAAATAAATAACTTTCCTTCATAAAATCCAACGTTTCATACGAACCAATCTAATACTTACAATTGTATGTTAAATTTGTTGTGTACAGCTTTATAAAGTTCATTCGATGTTTTAAATCAAACAAGTTTAGGTTCATGGTAACATAGATGGTAGTAAACGAGTCATTTATCCTATTGGATTAAAAATATAAATAATAAGGAAACTTAGGGTCATAACTAGAGTAAAAGTTTTACAAATTAGTCGTGACAGTCAACATGTTTTTAAAAATATTTACCGTGGTTAAGAAAAACATTCAATACAGACTTCCGTCTAAGCAGATCATCGTCATTGCCAACAAGTCAGCCATTTTGCGGTTCCCTAATAGACTTAGTGCTAGAAAACAGATACCCTCGAGCCACCCCTTAGCGAGCTAGCGCTGTGCCGTCGACGAATCGAATTAACTTTATTACGTTTGTCTTCTGTTTTCCGCCCCAACAACCACCAGTCTCTTTTCACCCTCAGCTGCTTTCGGTCGATTTCTCCAACCGCGCTGTGCGCCATCCACTTTTGCTCTTCGCCGTTCGACCGAACTGATCTCGTCGGACGAGGATACTTAAGAGCATTTCGATCATCTCTTTCAGCCTTACCGATTCGTTGTTCCGATCACACCGAGTCTAATCTAATTAAATTCTTTGCAATTTTCCACTTTGCGTTGTCTGATCGTAACAAATATATTAGATTGATGCATATGAAATCTCGTTTTTACAAATAAAACTTTAACCACGCGTAACATTTTTAGAGCAAAGATTGAGTAATTTGAATATTCCAGATTTGAAAGAAATTATCATTTCTGTTCATTTATTCATTTATCCTTTAAAAAGTGATCTAAATGTTTAAAAAAGTGAAAGTCTGTACCAATACAGATTGTTTTTTCATTAATTTTGAATGCATTTTTTCTATTTTTTTACAGTTGGAGTCTGAAGTAATTGTTGACCCAGATGGTAGAAAATGATAATGAATAAGTCCCTCGGATTATTACCTTTTAATTATAGACGAGTTTCAAAACATCTAATCCTTTGAATTTTTATTTCAGAAGATAAATCAACATTATATTCCCTATTTCTCTGCAATAGTTTCGTTCCAGCCTTGGGCTAAATGTGTAATACTATCTTATAATAGATGTACAAATTACTTGAAAATTGAGAACAACTGATGTGAAACAGCGAATCAAAATTATACTTGTCATTTATTGTCATTCTATGTTTATCCTTGGAAAATCACAAAAAGTAACACACACATATATACCATTAGATACATAAACTACAGGTCTGAAGATATAGAAAATAAATTATTCATTCTCTATTGTGGAACTGTTTCGTATAGCACGTATATTGTATGACGTAAATCATCACAGTAATAGATAAAACAAAAATTATAATATAATGTAAACTCAGAAGTATTTGAAATTGTTTTTCGAAAAATAATTACCATTTTTTCAGATCCCACATTTATAAACTTTACCTAGAAAGAATTTTGAAATATTACAAATCTTCATAGATGTCGAAACAATTGTTCAAGTTATTATGAAAGGTCTAAAACATATATTTCCCGTTTCGAGATGTTTAAACATTTACGTTTCATCGCATTAAAAAATATTTTTCATTGAACATTTAAAAATTAAATGTTCTGCTAATGGGAATTTTTATAAGATCGTTAAATTTCATGAATAACTTGCACGAAAATGTGTTTCGAATGACAGCCACTTTTAAAATTGACAGTACCTACTACATATGTAGTCGATTACTTACAATAACAAAAAATAATTAATTTCATTGAGAAAACAAATTTTTTTATTTTTAGAATTACATTATTTAATCTATATTTGCAACCTTATAATTACTTTTTCAACGTATTTACCTGTTTTTAAAATTTAAAGATAAGTACCGAGAAATTGGGATTACAAAATAACTTTATCTTCCAACAAGATATGTAATAACCCTAAAGTTGTGTAAGAGTTACAAACGATTAGATCCTTTATAATGTACAAAAATCTTTAAATACTCTACCTCAATCGTCCGGCGTCAACCCCATCGAGCATTTGTGGACGAAATTAGAATGTTCTGAACAAAAATATAGACCAACCTCCAAAGAAATGTTGAAAAATGTATTGACAACTGAATGGAACAAAATAGACGCAAATTTTACAAAAAAACTAGTCCAATTAATACATAAATGATTAGTACATACAAGGTGTTCGGCCACCCCTAGGAAAAATTTGAATGGCAAATTCTAGAGGCAAAAATAAGACGAAAATCAAGAATACAAATTTGTTGATTGAGGCTTCGTTAAAATGTTATTAAAAAATAAAATTAAAAAATATCAAATCATTCTGTAGAATTTATTTTCAGTTGCGGGGCTTGATTACAATCATTTTTGGTGAATACACATACCCCTGAAATCCTACCCAGTTTCGAGAAAAAAATTCGAATAGGTACTGAAATTTTTAGGCGTAATTAAAAAATTTCAAATCATACTAAAAAAATTATATTTAGTTACAGGGGTCAAATGCAAGCATTTTTAGTGTATAGACATACCCCGGAATCCTACGCACTTTCGAGAAAAAAATTCTTTACCGAAAATCTAATGTGAGGCCATAATGCTTCCCTGAAATTTTATGCAAATGTTTAAAATATCATAACTTCTGAACGTATTGAAGGATTTTAATGTTTCAAAAGGCAAACAATGCGTATTTTAGTGTAGAATATGTAGACATTCTAAGAATATTCGAAAAGTTGTTCCTTAAACCCGTAAAATGACAAAACCGCCATAAAAATAGTCTAATTTTCAAACGGCTGTAACTTTTACAATAGTGAACGTATCTCAATGAAATTTAGTATAGAAGTAGAGCTCATGGATACCTTTAAAAAAGTACTAAACAAAATTTCCGTAGCACGTCAAACAAATTTATTAAAAAGGAAAAATGAATTTTTAGGAAAAATCGACGGGGGGCAGCTGCTGAAATTTTTTGGCGAAAAAAAAATTTCAAATCGTTCTGGAAAAATTATTTTCGATTGCGGGGGTCAATTACAATCATTTTTTATGAATACACATACCCCCGGAATCCTACGTACTTTCTTTACCGAAAATATACTGTGTGGCCGGAAATGTTTCTATAACTTTTTAACGAAGCCACAATCAACAAATTAGTATCCTTGATTTTCGTCTTATTTGGGCCTCTCCCATTAAAATTTTTCCCAGGGGTGGCCGATCACCCTGTATAATAAAATCACAAACAAGTTTTCATGGAATAAACATTTATTCTGGAAGGATACTTTTATGTATGTTTTTTTGTTACTTCTGTTGAGCCGTTCATAATCTCGCGGCAATAAGCATGCCGCCAAATGGCGCCACCTATAATAAGGTTTAAGATCGTGCGGGGATTCCCGTGTCTTTTGTTCGTGTCGAGTCGAGTCGTTTGTTCGAGCCGCATGGTCGACATCACATACTGTAATTTATTTAACTATGTAATATGTAAAGTGGTTGTGTTTAACATTTAAATATTGTCTATATATAATTATCCAATCAGTTTCTATTCAAGAGGACCTGATATTTTTCAACAACTTCTTCAAAAAATAAGTTCTATTCCGAATAATTATTGCGACAAGTTCTTGGAATGCGAAATTCCGCATACTTTTCTTTGAATATACAAATTTGAAATGATACATTGTTGTTTTAGGAATGAGTTTAAGTCTACAGCTCTCATAATGTTTGAAAAAAAAGTGACGATTCAACGTCGAATGAGTTGTTCGCTGTAGACCCATCGTATCATTTCCTGTATGGTCTCTGGGCAGCTTAAATCCATTGTTTGTATCGAAACTTGTATCGCAACAAGTATTAGCTTTAGATAACTAGATATTCAGTTAATAATATTGTAATGATAAAAACAAAACTGCATGACCCTGTAAATATTTGTTTACCAATGAACCTGAATGGAGTCTAAAATTAATAAAAAAAAAAATACTTTTGTTACAGGCGGCAAACGGCAGAGGAGAGAGAAGCTGAGAGGCAGGCGGCAAATCGGTTAATGTTGTCCCTTCAAGCCGAAGCGCTTGGAAAAGTAGCGTATCCAACAACGGTACCCAGTCATCCAGCAGGGACCACTGTTCCCAGTCTGGATAGGCAGCAACCACCCACTACGCTGACCCACCCCAGTCAGTGGGCCTCGCCGTACGGCCCGCCACAACCCTTGGCCGAGCCAATTTGCTGAACCTCGGCGATTCACGCGAACCGAAAAACTCCTATCGAGTGAACTCGGTGTATTAATTGCGTCACTTTTGTATCTGGATGAGAGGAATACTGTCGCAACTCAAAATGTGGAAACGCGACCATTCGCCCTTACGCAGTCAATTAGCAGTGAAATTGTAAGTAGCGAATTCTCTCGAAGAGGACGAACGTGAGAGATCGTGCCCTCCGATAATTCTAACAACTAAAGATTGTAAAATAACAGCGACACGTACTAATTCGTTTACCTTGTTTTCCAAAATCGTATTTTAAATTCGTAGTGAACTTCTTACATCGGAACAATTCAAAGCGAGTAAATTTACAAAAGTAATTCTCGCTTGCATATGAAACTGTATAATAACCGAAATAAGATATATTTATTTGATTGGGTCCCATAATCGCGATAACAAACGACACCGTGTGAATTAGACTTCTTTTTTTTTTGAGTTGTGACAATATTGCTGTCAATTTATTGCGTCATTGTTTTGACGATGCTTGTAAAAATTCGTTTCCGAGGTTTCTTGAAGCTGTAATATATTTAGTAATTACTTGAAGAACACGCGAAAGCTGTATTAATCGACGATCTGATAGAATTATCGATCGTTAAAGTCGTTTTGTACATCAATTATGTGCACACGGTTTATTTAAAAAATTTTCCTCGTTGAAGCACTGTTGGACACTACGGTATCGTGCCTACATTTGTAAGTATACATTATTTATTTTCCATTTCTCTTTGCTTGCCTTCAGTTATACCATATGTACACAGTACAATCTTGATTAGACCATTTTAATTATTCTACATTTCCTAATTCAACTCTTAATAAACGAAATAAAGCGAAAGACACGAAATTATAGTCACATGAAGTGGTATGTTATTTGTCTTTCGTTCCAATTTATACATAGAGTATTTTGAAGATTCAATTGATACTGTTCTATTTACTAAAAATTAAATTACATTCAAATATTTGACCCTAATTCAAATTTGCTGAATGTGGTATTACACTCAATATAAAAATGTACGACCATGAAATTTTAAATATGTTACTGTGTTTTAAACACTATTTAGATTTTACTATAGAGTTTTTCAAAATTGAAATATTAATGGAAAGCTTTAGTGCTGCTCGTAAATTTTGTTATTTTCAATATCTCAATCAAGTATTGAATAGTTGCCATTCTAGACATTTCCATTATAATTTTCACACTGATAAATCATTCGAGGTATTTTCACATAAAATTCAAAGTCATTATAGTTAAGTAATCAGTACGCGAATGCACATTATCGATCACAAGTTTGAAACCACCATTTCATGAACTAAAAATGGAGTCCTTTAGTGCAATTTAAAATTCGTGTATAGAAATAACACTCGAATGTCCCTACTTTTATTCAGAAATAAACCACTATTTTCTTTATTGACAGAATTATACATTACTGTTATTATAATTATCCACCTTACTTTTCTTTTTATAACTACCCTTATTCTATCTTTCTGGGCACTTATTTATCCCGAAATGTATCAATAAAGGTGTTCTCAAACTTATGACCGATAAGATATAACGAAACATCGTTTAATATTTAAAAAATTACTGCACATTTCAGTAAGAGGTACGAAGAGTTAAAAACGTTACGCAATCGATTAACCGATCTAAAAAATGTATCGCGTAATAACGATTTTACTGACTCACTCTAATTGTCAATTAAGCCGCGTGCTCGTCATTTTTTATTCCAAATTCTCTGTATAATCTCGTTAAACGTCTCGATGGATCTCGCGAATGATCGACAATGAAACAACGAAAATCGCTTGTGTTTCGTGTGGAAAAAATTATAATTCAGCATGAAGGTGTAAACGTTCGTACGAAACTTCGGTCACTAAACACCCAATACTATTAAATCTCTTAATGAACTATAAAGGTTGTGGATTATGGCATTCCAAGTCACGCGTGACGATTCAAACACATTTAACATTTGCATAATAATTACAAAGGCCCATGAAAATTAGGAGTTGTGAAACGAAACAATTCATAAGTAGAAAAAAAAACTATAATTTCAGCGAGCAGTAAGATTTGTAAGGTTTACTGAAATATTAAAAATATTTTTAACACGTTTGCTTCTTATCGTTGTAGAAATAAAAACAATTAAATTTATGATTCTTCGTGTTCTCGAAAACTAATTTGAGAAAAAATTGTAATAATGGCAGTCTGTGATTATAGAGTTTCTTTAGTTATAATTTAATATTAAAATTAAAATTAAAAAATTTAATTTTGATGATGAACGTAGAAAATGTGTGCATATATTTGTTGCTCGATAATTTTGGTTACAATAAAACAGATATAACAATTATCTAATTAAATTGTAAACGTAACTTTGTTTTATTTAAAGAAGAGACTATGTAGAAACTGACAAGCATTAACGAAACAATTCGAAGTATATTTTCAGAAATTCGGAAAATCGTTTAACTTATTTTTTGTCGGCGGTGGTAATTTATGAATTTAAAAGTTTTGACAAGGAAAGGACGAGACGATCGTCAACGCGATTCCAATAATTTCGGTGCAAACGCGCGATGAGCCTCAATATGAATTTATTATAACTATTACGTACGAGCGCGCGTTATCAATCTACGTTAAGAAAATTTCCCAAAAGGGGGAACGTAATTGCTGTAGCTTTCCTTAACGTGGCATTATTGACAGTGGAAAGGATTCCCGGAGATCGAACGAAAAAAAAAGCGTCAGAGGCCACCGAGTCGACTTAATTGCACTATTTCTAGGTAATATCAACGTCTTATGTCAAGACAGCCAATTTTATCGACGTACTTAATTAACGAAACGAGAGGTCTGATAGGGAGCTAAAAGGAAACTTAAATAATTACGAAGTGCTTTCGTTTCACGGTTGCCTATAAGATCGCTTTGGAAGAAACGACCCTCGGGATAAAGATATGCAGGGACATCGGAACAATTAAAAAAGAGGATGAAACGCAACGGCGGATGCGCGAAACGAAATCCAGATAGCTTTAAATATCGTGTACAGTCGTTCCCGCTTTCGAGTGACAAAATGGAGGTCGATAGTTCGCTTGAAAACGAACTGGGTAGCAATTTTAATCTCGTACAGAGATCCAGCGTTGCAACTGCCATCTGACGAGCAAAATCGATGCGCCGAGAGCCAAAATATCTTCGTGACAGAATTATTGATACAGTAAAACCTCGATTATTGCTGGAAACTGGGGTCTGAAAATTTCTGCAATAATCAAGGTAATCGATGCAATGTGTTGTAACCGTATTTGCTGAATTACATCGCACGAAAAACTAAAAAATATGCCCTTATGACCAAATTTTCTTTTATTATATATAATTATATAATATTTTTAAAGCTATTATGACCAGGAAAATTACGTGTATAGATACCCTAATGATGCAAATGGATTGAGGGGATATTCTAGTATGAACCTTTTAAAAAATCGATTTTCTTTCAATTTTCTTAAAGAACATATTCTCAAAAATATATTTGAAAAATCATTGAATTCCTAAAATTATTAAAGTTATAGTTGTTTTAAGAACGTGATGGTCAGCATCGTTACTATAAAGACACAAAATTTTAAACACGTTTTTCTAGAAACTATGTTTTTTAGGGCGACGTCTATAATATGTTAAAATATACTTAACCAATTGACACCAAATTTTATACGAATATTTGGAAAACGTAGGACTATAGTTTGAAGTAAAATTATTTCAATGTTCGTATTCCTTCTATTTTTTTCAGTCCCATAGGTTAAAAACAAAATGTGAAGAAGTAGATAACCAAAATTCAGACAGTCACCATTGTATTAATCGTAAATATTTTTCCGTGTTAGATAAACAGGAGTGCTGACACTATGAGACGACATTTTTTTATTGCTACGCAAGCACATGACACCGACAATTTTGATTTTTGTGAATGAAAAAAAATGTAGTTATTGCCAAAACATGTATAAACATACCCTTACACTTTTACTGCAAAAAGTTTTATAGTAGAATAGCCTCTTAAGGATTAACCCGTCCACATGTCGACGCCATGAAACGAACGGGGCTCTCGTGCAATAATCGAAGTTCAAAATAACCTATGAACTCTCCCCGTGCACTAAAAAGAATTTCATAAAAAGACATTTTTTAATGGGGTAAATAAATAACACTAAAAGTAGATTATTTTGAAAACAATTTTTACTTAATTATATCAGTATTTAATTAATTTGTTGGCGATGTTTGTGCTTGGTCCTGAATAGCTTCAAAATTTGTTGCGATAAATAGAGTTCTACTGTATTACAATTAAATTCATCTTTAAAGGGAAACATCATTTTATCTATAACCAAAATTAGAATATTACTTTTATTTTTTTTTATGTTTGAACAAAAAGCGAATTACCCCCGTTGAAAAATAACATTTTTCTTTAAAACATCACCATTTTGTCATTTTTGAACATTTTCAAATTATTCCAACTCGTGCCATAAAATACCATCTATTATAAGAAGCTTTGCTTGCTTAAGCTGACTCAATTTAAAGTGAAGAAATTTTTTATTTTGTCGACATAAGATATTTGGTGTGTTATAAGTGTATACTGAATAAGTAGTGAAGTTTACTTGAAATAAATTCCCTAAAAATGACTACTTTTAAATTCCAAAAAAGAAACGACTGCCCCTTTAAGATTTTGAAATGCGTAATAGTTTCCGAAACAACTTAGTGCAATTAAAAATATACTAAATAAGATTCTGTTTGGACTAATTTTCGTAAACAGAACTTCACAGTCAAAAAATTGTGATTTGCATTAAGTAAAATTAAATTCCTTGTGCGTATTTTATCGTTCTGCCGGAAACCGTCGGCCGACGGTTCACACGTGCTGGACAAATGTAAAGACTTGTAGGAATGATTCTGTTATTTAAATCCGATGTAAAAATTGTCGCTTGAGAGCAGGAATTTTTGTAAGATATTTTGCAAATTTTTGAATACTAGAGTCTGCCAAAT